AAAGGTATCTTCAGTGACCCACCTTTGTCATCTTTAAACCTAATAAACCAATTCCTAGCAATTGAATTGAAATCCCCTAGACTTGTTTTAGTGATACATAGTCCTACTGGAGCCTGTATAAGGAGAGAGATGGGATATAAATCAAATGAAATCCCGTATTTACTTGAGTCTAATGTGCCATCGAATCTAATGCGCATCTCCATTTTCAAAACCTGAAACTAGGGTGAATGTAATGCACAGCAGCAAAAAGTAGACCCTTTCATCCTCATCAGACGGGACTGTTTTCAGCAGCATATGCCAGTTCTTCTGAAGTTTTGCAAAAGAGCCTGCCAGCTCCCATCCCATGACATACAATTACTTCTGTTAGAACTGCAGAGGAACTCATGGATGCCACTGTGGTGGCAACATGGAAGGCTCTCAGTGTTGCAATGGGAACAATGGGAGGGGGGGGAGACCACTGGTAGATACTTCTCCCCCATGGGATGAGGTAGGTGGGAAACCAGGCAATATGCGGCATAGGGAGGCATTTTCCCCTCATTCCACTTCAGGCACCATCAGATTTGCCATGATCTGTGGCAATTCTGGTAGCACATATGATGAAACCATTTGTTATTTGGCAAAAAAAGTGTGCTTTGTACAATACAATTGCTGCATGTTCATAATGCCTCCTTTAAAAGAGAAATGTGTCAGAACACCAGAGCTTACACCAATTGAAAGCAAAAACTTTGGAATACATCTATACTGGAATTAATCCACTTTAATTGCCTTGGTTCAGTGCTATAGTTTGACAGGTTCTTGAACCTTCTCAGCCAAAGAATGCTGATGCCTCGCCAAGCGACAACTTCTAGGATTGCATAGCATTGAGCCTCAAATAGGAGTTCCTGGTGCTCCTGAAACACCTTCCCTTTTGCTTTGGCTTAGCAATAAGATTATTGTATGGTATGAATCTAATCCACACCCTAATTTTGGTGAGATAATTTAGTGCAAAAAGGGGAGCATTATTTTTGAATAAATATAGTATTAGTCAAGATTGTAAAAAATGGTTACTTAGAAATTAAAGCAGGAGTTAAAGTTTGAACACCTCCAGCTGAAAGCATATTCCACTATTCTGTGTAAATTTCAATTTAATCAATACAATATTCAACATTGACACTGGCATTTAGTACATAGGACCTTTTCACACAGGGTGAAATAATTATGTTTTGTCACTTTTAGCCATGGCTTGAACGGGGCCTGCCAAGTACCATCAGAGAAGGCATGGCAGGCCCTGCCCACATTCCTCCTAAAGTGGAAGAGAAGGTACTTCCTCCCCAAATGATGGGGGAAAGGGCGCTAGGGCAATGAGTGTTGCCACCCTTTCTCCCATTTGATGGGGTATGAGAGAGGATGCGCGGGGCACCACGAGGCACCATGCATGCCTTCCCTTTTGCCAGCAACTGCTGGGCACAACCCCCATGGACCGTGTGAAGAGGTCCTTAGTTGCTGGTATAAACCAAGGCAAGCAATCAGTGGTCATGGTACTTCATGCAATTCTTAGCTCTCTTTGATGAACAATTCAAACTTCCAGCAAGATTAAACGGCTGCTCTGGCCAGAGAGAAGACAGAAGGGAGCAGAAGACACTTCCATCTTGTCTTCTACCTATATCATCACTTAAGAGGCCCCTCCCCCTTCTGGCACCAACGGCTGCTCTGGCCAGAGAGAAGACAGAGGGGAGCAGAAGACATTTCCATCTTGTCTTTACTAATAATATAATATAGTATATTGTATATACATATAATATTTATAATGTTATAATGTAATACAATATAATACTAGTAATAATAATTCAATATTATAATTATAATTATATATTTAATTATATGTAATATTACTAATAATATTACAATATAACGGTATAGTGCAATATAGTAATATATACTGATATTGTACTATGCTAATAATATAATATATTGTATGAAAATATATATTGTAAGCCACTCTGAGTCCCCTTCGGGGTGAGAAGGGTGGCATATAAATGCCGTAAATAAATAAATAAATAAACCACCTCCTCCTGGGCAGCTGCAAGGCAGCAATGGCAGAAGGAGAGAGTTGATAAATAGCATCATCCATGTATGGTATCATTTCATGCTACAGAATTATAGTGCTATTTTGGACTTTAGCTGCCATGATTACATCCTATGGCATATTGGAGTTTCTAGTTTGATGAGGACATAGAGATTTCTTGCTGAGAATTCTAAATATATCACAAAACTAAGAGTCATAAGATTCTTAAGATAGATATAGGGCAGTTAAATTAGAATCATAGTATATAATTATAATTATGTAGTGAGAATGGGCTCCAGGCTTCTGGGCCTCCCTACTGGTAGTTCCAGCCACACTTATACAAATATGTGCTCCTACAGTGGATTAGTCTTGAGGAAATGTAGCTTATGTTGTTTTCTGAGACAAAAGGTTTTTTGCCTCACTTGTAAGGCAGCAAAATATTTTATTTTCCATTTTTGCATTTGCAAATGGGACAAATTGGGTGGCCGAATTGTCAGAGGCTGCTTCCTGGCTACATGGACCTTTAAAAACTAGAGGAATCAAGGAGCCTTTTCAATGGATCAGCTGGACTTGCTCTGCTTGCTGTCTGTACTTAACTTCTTAAAACATGAGTTTTGTGCAGAGATATTTTGGACACTTCAAGAACAGGAAGGAAAGTGTTCATTGTCTCAGTCTCATGCTGTAGGCAAGAAATCACGTGGGGTTTCATGAACTCTCAGCAGGCCATCCCAGTGTGTCAAGACAGCCTGTCTCATTGAGAATGAGTAATCCTCTGAGATTTCTTCACCTCCTACTCTCAAGAGTGAGGGTGGTGGGCTAGCTTTCTCATCTCTGATTTAAAGGATATATATTCTTCTCAGAGTACTTGCTCTCAGCCACTTTTTGAATAAATAAAATCAATGATTGTTCAATGACAGTCATTAGGCAAGATGACCCAGAAAGAACTGGTTCATCTAAATTTTACTGATCAGCATTGTCAGATGCCTCTATTATCCTATATCACAATAAAAATGGAATAATCATCAGACTATTTCCACTCAAGAGATTAATCTTCCTGCTCCATGACCTGAAAAGCCAGAAAGAAGGACCTGCTTCTGCTAAGTTCTATAATATTGATATGGATCAGTAAAGTACAATGACCAATGTTTCCAACTCTTTCTTCCTGCTTTTATGTCCTTTACATTGATACAAATTATTATTTTTATTAATAATTGCATAGAAATAAAACCAGAAGTCATGAAATGGTTTTATAACACAACAGTAGCTCACGTACAACAACATGCGGGATGGGAAGACAGTTTTGAGAAATAAGAGCATAACAGGAGTTTATGTCAATAAGATACAACAGAGTCAGGAAGAGTTAAAAATGAATAGGAACAAAATAATGACTTAGATTTACATCTACAACTCACATTTTTGGCTCAAAAATGGAAGAGGGGTATCTGCTTTAAACTGATTATGAGTCTCCAATGACAGATAATCTAGGATAAGATTATAATCTGGGATCAGATCCTGGGGTATAGAGGTGGTGTGGAAGAGGCCTCAGAAAAGTTCTTCTGTGGTTGTGTGTTACATGCACATTTCATATCATTTTGTAGCCTTCTACCCATGTCTTCATTTTCTTGCTATCCATGTAGTTTGGATCCTTGAAAATCAGGATTTTTTTTTTGCACCCCTTCTAGTTCTCTTTTGCCCCTTCTGCAATGCCATATAATCCAGTTCAAAGCAGATAATCTGGATTTTATGTGGCAGTGTAGAAGGGGCCATAGAGACACCTTGGAGAACCTAGCAAATTCCTACAGGGGATACTTCTCTGAATTTTCTAAGTCCTTCAGGGCAGTTCCAGAGTAATTTCTAGTGGATATCATTAATTTCAGTAGGCTTTCCTATTATCCTGGTTTCCTGTTTCCATTGTAAATTCAAGAACATATTTCTTGGGGATACGGAGGTCTTACTCATTTATTTTGCCTTACTGAGAGTAAAAAAGAAAACCATATGATGCAAAAGAAGATTTCATGTGCAACTAACTTGTATAAGATGCATGTGAATGTTAAGGGAGATTATCCAACACATCACATATAATTTAGTTTTTTCTCCCTTCCAACAGCAGTTTTGGGTGGAAACCCATAATGAGAAATACTGTATATGCAATCATTACTTCTACAGATGATTTTATTGCAATGTATATGTGCGTTATATGCATGTGTATTTTTATACCAGAAGTGTGCTGTAAGAAATGCAAAATGTATTAAGTTTTACATGTATTCATGGTTTTTGTATTATGTAGTTTGTTTTTTTCCATTTTGTTTGCCACTTTGAGTCCCATTCGTGGGAGAAAAGCAGGATAAAAGTAAATAAATAATGATAATAATATTCATGTATATAAGCACCTATCCCAAAATCAAGGTGAAATAAGAGCCAGAAGAGTAATGACTATTAATTGGACTTTCAGTTTTTCTCCTGCCCTTGATAAAGTTGCAAGCTTTACAAAATGCATTTCAGTCTCATTTGTGCTTCGACAACATTTTTACATGCCACCATATGGTTCTCATTTGTGATTTTGAGTTGGACCTTCAAATCACTTGATTTGAGGAGCCTGCTTCCAGAACACCACTATTGTGACTCATGACAGGCAGATATAAATGGGGATTAACACACCTTGAGTCCCAATGGGGAGAAAGGTTGTGTGTGTATGTGTGTGTGTGTCATATCAAACGTTAATAATAATTAATAGAACAACTATGGCATTTCTCAAAGTGTCACTGATGAGAACATTGAACTTTATCAGAGAATATAGGACATCCTTACAATAATGTCTTCACTCTGTGAGATTGCTAGAAAGTCCCTGCATTTCTCTGCCATATCATAATTTTATCTGCTAATATATTCTCTTTTTCAAAATACTGCCAATATTGCAATTTCACTGTCTAAAATATTTTTTGTCTCTTTCTTCTAGTTTGCTCCCAGTTTTCAAGAGGAGTCTTTGCTATTTTTGGATTTTACGACAAGAAGTCTGTAAATACGATCACATCATTTTGTGGAACCCTTCATGTATCCTTCATTACCCCCAGTTTCCCAACAGATGGAACACACCCATTTGTCATCCAGATGAGGCCAGACCTCAAGGGAGCACTTCTGAGCTTGATCGAATATTATGACTGGAACAAGTTTGCATATCTCTACGACAGTGACAGAGGTAAGGTGCTATTTATGACTTACTGAGATTAATTTTGAACTGCAAACCTAATTGAAATGATGAAGAGGCATTGCATGTGCCAAGCATAACAGAGGACATCATTTTTGGCCTTGGGCATTTGATGATAGGGCACAGAAACAATGAGTACCTCCTATAATAAACAGAACAGGGGCTTCCATCTAGATCTAAAACCTGGCTCGTGTGCCCTTTCTAAAAATATTGGTAGACACCTGTCCAAAAGATTCCTTTGAGGGAAAATATTATGCTGAAATAATAATAATAATAATAATAATAATAATAATAATAATAATAATAATAATCACAGCCACAACCACAACTTTATTTTTGTACCCCGCCTCCATCTCCCCAAAAGGACCCAGGGTGGTTTACATGGGGTCAAGCCTGATAAACACAGTTAAAACATAACACAGTAAAATAAATAACAATATATAAAACAGGCATCAAAAGCAACAAATGATAATAAAATGCATTTCTCATCACAGGTGGGCGAGCTGGTGCAACAGCAATTTAGAGAATAGGGCCGGTGAATAAAGTGCATAGGTCATATGGCAGAAGTGGAGCCCCCAGTGACGCAATGGGTTAAACCCTTGCACCGGCAGGACTGAAGACCAATAGGTTGGAGATTCAAATCTGGGGAGAGTGCAGATGAGCTCCCTCTATCAGCTCTAGCTCCACATTGTGGGGACATGAGAGAAGCCGCCCACAAGGATGATAAAACAGCAAAACATCCAGGCATCCCCTGGGCAACATCCTTTCAGACGGCCAATTCTCTCGCACCAGAAGCAACTTGCAGCTTCTCAAGTCACTCCTGACAAAAAAATTGGCAGAAGTAAGGATAAGAGCAATGTAAAATAGGTAATTATAGATTTGGGTACAAAACTATAGAAAAGTGCGAGGACAGATTTTGGGTCTTCGTCGGGGCCAGCTACCTAAGGAATTGTCTAGTCAAAAACACAATGGAACATCCAAACCTCTAAAGGATTTTGGGGTGAGAGGAAATACAGATGGGCATTTCTGAATTGGAGTCTCTGTTCCTGCCAGAGCTTTGCTGGGTTCTTGATAAAAGAATGAAGATATATGCACAGACAATTTTGCTATTCATTTGTTTCTTCCAGTGGGAAAAACACCTTCCAGTTCTGAGCAATGAGATGCAGTTGAATTAGTTCTATTCTGTGGTATATGTAAATTATATTCTGTGTCAGGGACTGAAATACTTTTGTATCCAGCAGCTCCGAGCCATTGTCCTCCCCAACTCTGTCATCTCCAGCTTCCCATGCAGGGACATGAGAGAAGCCTCTCACAAGGATGGTAAAACATCAAACGTCTGGTGTCCCCTGGGCAATGTCCATGCAGATGGCCAAGTCATTTCTGGTGTGAGAGAATTGCCCATCTGCAAGAACATTGCCCAGGGGATGCCTGGATGTTTTGATGTTTTACCATCCTTGTGGGAGGCTTCTCTCATGTCCCCACATGGGGAGCTGGAGCTGATAGAGAGAGCTCATCCGCTCTCTCCCTGGATTCAAACCTCCGGCCTATCGGTCGTCAGTCCTGCTGGCTCAAGGGTTTAACCCATTGTGCCACCAGGTGCTCCAGGTTCTACATGGTGTCCTTTTCAAGGCCTCAACATGCATTTATCTATAATTGCATTTTTAGCACTTAACCATTTTCTTGTTAAAAGACACGAACAGTTGCCTTGTGAAAGGAAGGAAATTTATACCTTCACTTTTGGGAACTACAATTCCAGAATGCTTCATTGGCTCATTAAGGAATTTATCAAGCCATATGACTCTTTTTTCAAAACCCTGGAAGTACATTTTGATGGGTGCCAAAATAAAAAGCCCCGTAGAAATACCAAGAACATACGTACTGTGTTTCCAGCCATCTAGAAGGAAATAAATCTTATCAACTGAAACCTGAGACAAATCAGAAATTCATTATTTACTTTTAAGCCCATTGGAACTGACAAAATAATGCTATGATTAAAAAGAACAACTGTTGAAACATTTTTGTTGGTAGACATTATTCTTGCAATTATGTTTTTCCATGGTGAACAACATTGTACAATAAGCCGAGACAGGATTCAAAGTAGACAAAGCAGAACGGTCTGTAAAACAGAGAAAAGGAAGAGTAAGAAATAAGGTCTGCTGATAGTTTTATAAGAACAGTCTTCAAACTAATCTGTTGAATTTTAAGTGAGGTCAGTAAACTGATGCATGAAAATAATGATTCTAACTAACTTGAGGGGAGGCATAATGGGTTGAAGGCATGTGAACAAAGCAAATCTTTATTAATATTTCTTCACTGACTTTTGCCTAGGGAAGGAGGAGAAATCCATTTTAATATGAGCTCATCTAATTTGCACTCCTAAACTAATAGGCAATCTGGAACACAATTATCTTTCACTTCATGCTTTCCCAAATGTTGCCATGCACTTTCTGTTGTTTTTAAAGAAAGTCATGCATACAAAAATATACATACAAATATGCATAGGAGAAGTGCATACAAAATACACAATGAATACATTTTCTCCATGGTTAATGCTGTCACTTTATTTATGTCCTGCCTTTTCCCCCAATATTGAACCCAAGAGAGCTCGAAGCATAGATGAAAACACAGTTTAAAACCTATTACAATAGGAGGAAAGGGTTTGCAATTTAATAAATTATTATTCTGAAATATAGCACTAATTAAAATAAATTTAAAACATTCAAAACATAGCAATGAGAATATTTATTTATTTACAGTTTTTCTATCCCGCCTTTCTCAACCCGAAGGCTACTCAAGGTGGTTTACAAGTTGGCAGCAATTCGATGCCACAACAGACATAAAATACATAAAAACATTTAGCACATAATATAAAACCATAGAAAAAACCATTAAAAACGTATAATCATCAGCAACTTCTTATTAAACTCATTTTCCAGTTGCATCATCTAAGCCATTCGGTAGTTCCATATTTACCTATTACGCTGTATTTGCTAAAGCTTGTTCGAAGAGCCAGGTTTTGACTTTTTTTGGAAAGTCAGGAGAGAGGGGGCCGATCTAATATCCCTAGGGAGGGTGATCCACAGCCAAGGGGCCACCAATGAGAAGGCCCTGTCTCAGGCCCGTAGCCAGGATTTCGATTCGGGGGGGGGCTGATTTTTTTGGGGGGGGCTGAGTCTGAGTGAAAGAGGGTCTACCCTAGCAAACCTTTTGTATCATGACCCCAATACCCCCATGCATATGGGATATATTGAGTATGGTGATCAGATCATGATATGAATAAACATAACAGTTTAAATAATGCACCAGTAAGGCCTTTTCGCGAACCACCATGAGAATTTCGGGGGGGGGATGAAGCCCCCCAAGTCCCCCCCCCTCTGGCTACATGCCTGCCCTGTCTCTTGTCCTTGCCAGACTCACCTGCGAAGAAGGTGGGATTGAGAGCAGAGCCTCCCCAGACAAACTTAATGTCCTAGATGGTTCATAAGGAGAGATATGTTTGGACAGGTAAGACTAGAGTACATGCCCACATTTCTTGGTCATTGGTTGTATGTTTTTGGTTGTGTTTTATGATATCTTAGATTTTATTGGTGTTGTTGTTTTAATATAGTTGATAGTTTTATGTTTTTAATTGTGTTACTTTGCAACCTGTTTATATTGGGCTTGGTCCCCATGTAAGCTGCCCTGAGTCCCTTCGGGGAGATGGAGGCGGAATATAAGAATGAAGTTATTATTAATATTATTATTATTATTATTATTATTGTTATTATTGTTATTATTGTTACTTTCCCTTCCAAATATAATATAGTTCCCATTGGCAAATGTCGATTTGCGTGAAGTCCAAAGGAGTGGATCAATGACAAATCGGATTTGATAGGATAGTTCTAATTCCAAACTCTGTCACAGCATAATCACATTTGTTTTCTGAATTGTTTGCCTGATGTCAAAAGGCAAGCAATAGGAGGGTGATCTTATCTTCCATATGTACTTCTGTATGCATTTTCTTTCTTGTACATAGGAAGAATACATTCTAACCTATATGGCTTAACTAGGATCCCATAGTCCCTAACTGTACTGGTTTGAAAGGGCCCTATATGCAATCCTGATTCATCCTCTGTCAACCCAATGTCTCTGTTTCTTCCCCCACCCTTTGTTGTCAGTTACTTCAATTGCTACAAACAGAGTTGAAAATACAGAAGTGATTTGCTGGGGTGGGGAAGGGGACAGGAGCAAGCAAATCTCATTCTTTTAAGTAGGCTTAGACAAAATCAAACTATGGCATCTTTCTCAAGCTTGTGTTTTTCCTCATTAGCAGTTTTTCTGTCTTGATCATACTCTACTGTTGGCTTCATCTATTTATTTATTTATTTCACTTACTTCTACCCCGCCCTTCTCACCCCGGGGGGGGCACTCTATACTGACTACTTAGGTTAGTGTGCATTTAGATCAACATTGCAGTGGCTAAACACAGCATGGGGCTTCTAGATTAACACAGTCTACCCCTGAATTAAGCTAACTTGAGGGGAAACCCAAATCCTGACCCGGAATTCAAACTTTCCCCCAGTTCGTGGGATGTGAATACAGCTGGGCCGGTTCCTGACTGGAACTAGCAGCAGCTGTCTTGACTATCATTCCTTCATTCCCCAGGCTCAGGCAACTACATTCATAGATCAAGATAAGTGGAGTGTTGAGACTGGGGACAGCTGTGACAGGGGCAACCCCTAGGTTGGCTGCTCAATGGCACTAAATCATGTTCAGTTTTGCTGGGCAGTCAGGACTTCCTCCTGCCTCCAAAACAGTTAAGGGAATTCCTCCCCAACTGCCATATGGTCCAATCCAGTGCCCAGGATGCCAGATTAGGCACACGGTATTATTTAGTTTACAAGGGCCCATTGTTTGGCTTCATGTATCCCAGCTTTAATCTGAGAAATATTGGAAGTGTGGGGCCTAACAATGTTCTTAAACCATTGGAGCTGTTTAGTGAAACTAAGAAG